AAAGCCGAGGTACGACAAAGCATCAGAGACCAAACGGCATGCTCAAAGCCCTCGCTTCATGCTTCTGACCTGAGCCCCTTTGAGGTCACGCTGAGCTTGGGCTGTAGAACAACAGCCTGTGCGACCAGTCTAAGTTAAGATGCGAAATCCATCGCAGCCTCTAGAGCCTGGAGAGGTTTAAGACCTGAAGCTGAAAGCCCTCACTGCGTGAAGCGCGCCGCGTGAAGCGGCGCGGGCAAGATTCAGCTCGGAACCCCTAACCCCCCCCAAAAAAAAAAAACAACTGCGAAACAGAAACAGCATGAAACCCAGCTGATCTCCCAAGGCCTATGCAGCATATGCGTGTTCGGAAAGGCCTTCTCAACCCTCAACCCCAGACCAAACCCTAAACCCTAAACCCTAAACCACAAACCCCAAACCCCAAACCCTAACCAATGCTTTGGGCGCCTGAATCTCCACAGTCCCCTCCTCCATGGGCACACTGAGCTCCCTGGTGGCCTGGGCCTCATTCGTTCCCCCATCAAACTGCCAATACCTGTAACCGTAACCCCAATTACCTACTATTTAGGGTTTAGGGTTTAGTCGCTCACTCTCGCACAAGGCCGGCAAGGTTCGTTGGTCTGTGTCGGCATTTAGGGTTCAGGGTTTAGGTATGAGGGTCTACCAAAGTAATTAGCCCTCAAGTCATAGGTATAACCCATAAAACTGTAGGAAATTGGGGGTACAGGTATGCCCTAATTAGGGATACTACTGGTGCAGGACTACGTACCCTTCGGAGTAGAATGTCCTTCCCTAATTACTCAGCCCTACTCCCCTATCTCCAGAGAGGGTTGAAAGCCAGCAGTTGCAAAAGAAATACAGTGACCGCAGTGGAAATACTTCCCCGAAGCCCTGACTCGAGAAGCTCATCGAAACACTCTGCCGAGCTGAGGGCATCTTTCAGCAGAACGCGGTCGAGCAAGTCCGTCGCCACCTTGTCAGTTCGGAAAGTCTTCGGCCGCGCGCAAACAGAGAACGTCCAACATTCACAGCCTGGTAATGGCAATGCAGACCCCAGAACAAAACGCCTCCTGAGCCATGATTGCTACACCTCCCGAAGCTCAAGGATCCTGCCTCTTGAGCAAGTGCGGAAGGATCCGGCACCTTGCCGGTTCGGTGCGGAATGTCTCGCAGTTCGGGAGGAGGGTTATAGAAATTCCGGAACATTAACCCAACAACCCAAACCTATGTGCAGGGAACGCAGGCCCGACATGACATACGCTTCAGTGACGGAGAAGGAAAGCAAACGGACCACTTCGCACCGAGCACATAGCTGGCTGAACCCTTCCTGCGGGCCTAAAGAAGCCCTCCAACCATCTGTTCTAGCAAGAACCTCCCTAGCCTCGTGGACACCGGTGATTGAACGAACCGAGACCTCAGCCGGCGTTGGTTTTGGCTAGGGCTGATGGATGTTTTCTGGCATCCATAAACCCTAAACCCGTTTAGTGGAGGTTGGTGGCTTCTGCGGGCTCAGGGTCAACCAGGTGAGCAATGCGTCGCCCACCCTGCAAACCTGGCTGAGCAAGTATGAATGACGTCCATAAAGGAAGAAGAGGACATCTGTTTCAGGGTTTAGGGTTTCAATCGTTCACTTACAGGTTGCTTTCAGGAGAACTGCATGATGTGGAGGGGAAGCCTCGATAGGAGTTTTGGTCTTGGGTTTCGGAGTTCGGGCCAACTACTCGCCCTCCCTTTTCTGCCAGCTCCTCAGCTAATTGGGAGGTCTGTTTAGTGAGAAAGCCTGCGCACCTCTTGCAATGACTTTTTGCTTGCTTGGGGTTAAAGGGCTTATGGCTCTCACCTCAGAAAAGAGACAATGTTGCTAGGGGGCTTGTAGCGGAAATCCTGGCCTCCTAGGATGACCCTTAAAACCCTCCGAAAAAATATTCCTGAACATGATCCTCTTAAACCCAGCAATGGCAAATACAAAATGTCCCAGGAGCCCTTCCTAGCCTCCCAAAACCCAAGGAAATAACAAGTTGAAACCTTCAGAATAAACTAGCTCATAAGAAGCCCAAAATTTACTAGTTGGGTTTTGAGCCAGTAAGAGTCTGGTCTCAGGATCTGCCATGGGCAGCCCAAATTGCCAAGGCCGGTACAGGTGAAGAAGCCTGAGAGCAGGATGAGGATGCTTGACTTTTGAGCATTTTTGCGCATTACACATGGTATATATACAAACGCATCTAGACATAGGTGTATATATAATATATAAGTATACATATATATATATATATGTGTGTGTGTGTGTCTATGCGCTGACGCTTTCGTTCATTTATATACCTGGGCTCGCTCCCCAGAACGCAAATAAAGGCGGGGCAGCCCTATCGGTTTACAGGGGTTGTGCAAGTGAGAGGAGGTGCCTTCACTAGTGGTGGAGGGGGGGTTCCAGTTCACTTTACCAAAGATGGCAGCATCCTTTCTGAGAGCCGATCAAGTTCTTTCACGCTTTGCACAAATAGAAGTAGACATCTAAGACCTAGACCTAGATTTTCAAAGAGAGGTTCGCACAGTCTCAGTCTCAAAGGAGAGTGGATGCTCCTGAAAGATCTGATAGCCTCTACCATGCCCCCTGCGGTCTCGGGATTTTTGGCGATCTTTGGAAGTTTATGGAGAACTGGCTTCGGCAGCTGCTTACACGAGTTGTGGGGCGTGGAATGAGCCTGCGTCAGGCCGAGCCAACCACTGCAAAAGCTGTGCTTGCAAACAGATCAACTCCTGCAGCTCAAACCGTTTAGACACAGCCGAGCTTCCCTGCTCCTCGCAACCCTGCCCCCCAGGCGCCAATTCGACATGCCTGCACCTCTGCGAAGTTGTCGCCCGGATGGCTGACCGGCACCGAGACCTCCATGCTGACCAGGACGGGCTATTACACCCGATAGCCCCCTGAAAGGCCCTTTATAGGGTTGATTATGGGGATGATAGGCCTCATAGCCCATCCTGGTAGGAAGGATTTGCACTTTTCGTTTTGGGTGTATTTGGGTGTGTAGGGGGTGTTTGGGGATTCGTACTTGGGAATTTCGACCGTGGTTTGTCAGGATGGATGCAGCAGAATCCTTCTAGCCAGCCCCTGAAGGTCCTCAGCATGTCACAGCAACCTCCCACCGAATTTGACCTTCACCCAATGACAGAAGAAGCAAATCAAATACATAAACACACACACACACACACATATGTATATATATATATATATATATTTATACATAATGTATATATATATATATATGTGTGTGTTTTTCATATATGCATATATAATGTATATAATGATGGAAGTGCCTGGGCTGGCGCAGCCTCTGATGCCGGAGCCACTGCCTCTTCTGCTGCCGGTGTCGCCTGCCACGAATGTTGAGTTGTGTCGGTTGTGTGTGCATGTGCGTGTGTGCGTTATTCTGGACGAGGGCTGCTCTCGACCCCACAGGCTCCAATCAGCGCGCCACACAAAGCCGGCCGAGGTGTCCCCGCACAATCTGAAAGCAGAATTCCTGCCGGCCAACATGAAGTGCCTCGGTAGGTGCAGCCTCTGACGCTGGAGGCGCAGCCTCCTGCGCAGGAGGCGCCGCCTGCCGCTTATCAAGCTCCACTTGGTGAGGTTATGGGCCCTCTGCTCGGGTTGTCTTCGGGTGGGCTTGTGCTGTCTTGCTCGATGTGCTTTCAGTCTGCGAACACAAAGCCTTCAAACACAATTCTGCAGAGGACCCACCCTCACAAGCAGTCACGCCATATTGAGGCCCCAGGACATACCGAAACCCATAAAACCCCAAAGAGCCTCGGCCGGTGCGGCCTCTGTCGCTGGAGCCGCCGTCTCTTCAGCCGCAGGCGTAGCCTGCCACGCGGTGCAGGCTTCTCGGCTACTTTGCCGCCTTCAATTTTAGTTTCACCGAAGCCCGTTACGATCCGTAATAACTTCTGCGAGGAAGCTTTAAACAATGTGTTTGTATAAGCGTATTCGTCTACGTAAAAAGCAAAGACCTAAATCAACGCGCACACACACACATCATGTAGAAATATGTGGAATGTTTATGAGTATATGCGTATGTTATGACGTAAGTGCCTGAGCTGGCGCGGCCCCTGACGCCGGAGCCACTGCCTCTTCTGCAGGCCGCGTCGCCTGCCACGAGTTGAAGTTGGTTCTTGGGTCTTCGGGTTGAGTTGCGCTAGTTGAGTGTGCATGTGTGTGTGTTATTTTGGACGAGGGTTGCTCTCGATTCCACAGGCTCCAATCAGCGCGCAACACAAAGCCGACCGAGGTGTCCGAGCACAATCTGCAAGCAGCAGTCCTGCCGGGGAACATGAAGTGCCTCGGTAGGTGCAGCCTCTGACGCTGGAGGCGCAGCCTCTTGCGCAGCAGGTGTCGCCTGCCGCTTTTCAAGCTCTACGTGGTGGGGTTGTGGGGCGTCTTCGGGTGGGCTTGTGCTGTCTTGCTCGAACAGTCGTTTGCATCCGGCCTGCGAACAAGAAGCCTTCAAACACAACTCAAGATGACCACACAAGCAGTCACACCTTGTTGAGGCCCCCAACATCCCAAAACCATAGAACCCGAAAGAGCCTCGGCCTGTGCGGCCTCTGACACTGGAGCCGCCGTCTCTTCAGCCGCAGGCGCCTGCCACGCGGTGCAGGCTTCTGGACTACTTTGCCGCCTTCAACCTTCACAGCAGCCTCCCACCGAATTTTAGTTTCACCGAAAGCCATGACGATCCGTCATACCCAACCTCGACTTCTGCCAGGAAGCTTTACATACATATATATATATATATATATACATACGTTTATGTATAAGAATAATAATCGTAATCAGCCAAGACCTAAATGGACACACGCACACACATATATCTTACTATAGAAACATCTGAAATTCTGTAAATGTGTGCGTATGCGTATGTTATGACGGAAGTGCCTGGGCTGGCGCAGACTCTGACGCCGGAGCCACTGACTCTTCTGCAGGAGGCGTCGCCTGCAAGTTCGAGGTGGTGTGCTTGTGTGGGCTCAGCACTGTGCAGGGGTCTTGGGTGGTCTTCGGGTTGAGTGTGCTAGTTGTGCCCTCTTCAAGTAGTCTCTGGAGCCACTTCTTCTAGACGAGGGTTGCTCTCGGTCCAATCAGCGCGCCACACAAAAGCCGGCCGAGGTGTCCTGCACAATCTGCAAGCAGAATTCCTGCCGGCCAACATGAAGTGCCTCGGCAGGTGCAGCCTCTGACGCTGGAGGCGCCGCCTGCCGCTTTTCAAGCTCCATGTGGTGGTGTTGCGGGGCCTCTGCTTGGGTTGTCTTCGGGCGTTCTTTCTGCGAACGCAGAGCCTTCAATCACCATTCTGAAGATGACCCCGCAAACAGTCACACCCAACACATCCCGAAGCCATGGAACCCGAAAGAGCCTGGGCCTGTGCGGCCTCTGCCACTGGAGCCGCCGTCTCTTCAGCCGCAGGCGTGGCCTGCCACGCGGTGCTGGCTTCTCGACTACTTTGCCATCTTCAGCCTTCACAGCAAGCTCCCACCGAATTTAGTTTCACCGAAACCCATTACGATCCGTCCGACCGTCCTACCCAACCTCGACCCAATCCTCAACTTCTGCCAGGAAGCTTGAAATATACACGTAGATATATATATATATATACATATATATGTGTGTATGTGTGTGTGTGCGTAATATATATATATATATACATTCATGTATTTGTTTATGTAATTATATACATATATATATATATACATATGTTATGTATAAGAATAGTCGTATACGTAATAAGCCAAGACATACATGGACACAAGCACAGACACATAACTGAATATAGAAACATCTGAAATGATGTGTGTGTGTGCGCATTTTATGACGGAAGTGCCTGAGCTGGCGCAGCCTCTGACGCCGGAGCCACCGACTCTTCTGCAGGCGGCGTCGCCTGCCGAGAGTTGAAGTTCGAGGCAATGTGCTTGTGCAAGGTTTTGGGTGGTCGTTGGGTTGAGTTGTGCTAGTTGTGTGTGCATGTGCGTGTTATTCTGCACGACTGGTGGTCTCGAGCCCGCAAACTCCAATCAGCGCGCCACACAAAGCGGGCCGAGGTGTCCCCGCACAATCTGCAAGCAGAATTCCTGCTGGCCAACACGACGAAGTGCCTCGGCAGGTGCAGCCTCTGACGCTGGAGGCGCAGCCTCTTGCGCAGGAGGCGTCGCCTGTCGCTTTTCAAGCTCCACGTAGTGGGCTGTGGGGCCTCTGTTCGGGTCGTC